TAGCTGGGATTACAGGCACGCACCACCATGCCCAGCTAATGTTTTGTATTTTTAGTAGAGACAGGGTTTCGCCATGTTGACCAGGATGGTCTCAATCTCTTGACCTCGTGATCCACCCGCCTCGGCCTCCCGAAGTGCTGGGATTACAGGCTTGAGCCACCACGCCCGGCCACATAGTTTTTAATAACAGAAATGTAGAATCCAAAATCATATTATAGTATGATCTAAGGAATGTAAAAGCATTCACAGAAGAAATAAGCAGAATTCTGCTACTAAGATGTCAATAATTGTTGATCCTGGGTTGGGGTTTATAGGTTATTTTTTCTTTTTTATACAGTTTTGTGGGTTTTTTTTTTTAGTGACCATGTATTACTTTAAAAACAATAAAAATTTATATTTATATTTATTTAGTGTTCACAATTTTTTTTTTTTTTTTGAGAGAGCGTCTCAGTCTGTCACCCATACTAGAATGCAGTGGCACGATCTCAGCTTCCTGCAATCTCTTCCTCCCAGGCCCAAACCATCCTCCCACCTTGGCTTCCCAAGTAGCTAGGACTACAAGCATCCACCATACCTGACTAATTTTTGTATTTTTTGTAGAGACAGGGTTTCACCATGTGCCAAGGCTGGTCTGGAACTCATGAGTTCAAGAGATCTGCTCACCTCGGCCTCCTAAAGTGCTGAGATTACATGCATGAGCCACTGTTCCTGAACTATTAATTTGTACTTTTAAAGGGACAGTAGGCCCTTGCCTCTAATTTACAGGAGTGGGCCTTATGACCAGAAGATACTTAAAAAGGAATGTGGTGGAAATGGCTGTTCTCGGAGAAAAAGGTCCTTGAGGGATAGACTGATGTATCTTTAAATGCTGATGGGAAATGCTATGAACAAGCCCCAAAGTGGGGGCTGGGGATGGCCCACCCTGGGGAGAGGAGAGCACTGCTGAAGAGGGAAGGCCTGAGGCTATGGAGCAAGCCTAGCAGACCCCTGTGGCTATACTTCTATAGCTTAGGGCAACGAGGCTATAGTCTGTGGTCAGCCTGTTCTACAAATCCAGTGACACTCACCAAGAATATAAGGGGTCACTTCACCTTTCTTTTTTTTTTGAGATCAGTCTCACTCTGTTGTCCAGGCTAGAGTGCAGTGGCGTGATATTGGCTTACTGCAACCTCCACCTCCCAGGCTCAAGTGATCCTCCTTTCTCAGTCTCCCAAGCAGCTAAAACCCCAGGTGCAGGCCACCATGCCTAGCTAATTTTTATATTTTTTGTAGACACAGGATTCCGCTGTGTCACCCACACTGGTCTCAAAACTCCTAAGCTCAAGCTATCCTCCTGACTCAGCCTCCCAAAGTGCTGGATTATAGGCATGAGTCACCACATCCAGTCATTCACCTTTATTCTTCAGTACCCCTTCTGAAGTACCCTTTTGCCTTGTCTTTCTTTTTGTTTTTTATTTTTATTTTTTATTCTTAGTAGAGAGGGGGTTTTACCATGTTGGCTAGGCTAGGCTAGGCTCGAACTCCTGACTTCCAGTGATCTGCCTGCCCCGGCCTCTCAATTCTGGGATTACAGGCGTAAGCTGCCATGCTTGGCCTTGCCTTGTCTTTCTGACCTTTTAAAAAAGATCCTGCTATTGATGTTGAGGAAGTAAGTTGCTATGTTGTGAGAAGGCACTATGATCATGCCTGTGAATAGCCACTGCACATGTGCCCATTGCCTGGGCAACATAGCGAGACCGTGCCAAAAAAAAAAAAAAAATTCCCAGACTACATGATTTCTTTTTTTTTTTTTTGAGACGGAGTTTTGCTCTTGTTACCCAGGCTGGAGTGCAATGGCGCGATCTCGGCTCACCGCAACCTCCGCCTCCTGGGTTCAGGCAATTCTCCTGCCTCAGCCTCCTGAGTAGCTGGGGTTACAGGCACGCGCCACCATGCCCAGCTGATTTTTTGTAGTTTTAGTAGAGACGGGGTTTCACCGTGTTGACCAGGATGGTCTCGATCTCTTGACCTCGTGATCCACCCGCCTCGGCCTCCCAAAGTGCTGGGATTACAGGCCTGAGCCACCGCGCCCAGCCCAGACTACATGATTTCTAAAAGAATAACATACACTTGATTGATTTCTTTCTTTCTTGTTTTTAAGATAGAGTCTTGCTCTATTACCCAAGCTGGAGTGCAGTGGCATGATCTCAGCTCACTGCAACCTCTACCTCCTTGGCTCAAGTGTATCCGCCCACCTCCGCCTCCCAAAGTGTTAACAATGCCTGGCTAATTTTTGTATTTTTGGTAGAGACGGGGTTTCACTGTGTTACGCAGGCTGGTCTCGAACTTATGAGCTTAAGTGATCTGCCCGCCTTGGCCTCCTCCCAAAGTGATGGAATTACAGGCGTGAGCCACTGTACCCAGCCCATTTGACTGGTTTCTAAGAGTTTTTACTCATTTTTTTTGAGACAGTCTTGCTCTGTCGCCCAGGCTGGAGCACAATGGTGTGATCTCAGCTCACTGCAATCTCTGCCTCCCAGGTTCAAGCAATTCTCCTGCCTCAGCCTGCCGAGTAGCTGGGATTACAGTTGTGTGCCACCTCTCTCAGCTAATTTTTGTATTTTTAGTAGAGACAGGGTTTCAACACATTGGCCCGGCTGGTCTCAAACTCCTGATCTCAAGTGATCCACCCACCTTGGCCTCCCAAAGTGCTGGGATTACAGGTGTGAGCCACCGTGCCCAGCCTGCAAGAGCTTTTATATACTAAGGATGCTAATTCTTATGTTCTCTACATAAAAGCTCATAACTTAATATTAACTGAAAAAAAGGACATAAGAATAATACAAGTATGTAAAGAAAAAAACTGCACAGGAAAAAAGACTGGAAGGAAATAAGCTAAAATATACATTATTCGGGCCGGGCGCGGTGGCTCAAGCCTGTAATCCCAGCACTGTGGGAGGCCGAGGCGGGTGGATCACGAGGTCAAGAGATCGAGACCATCCTGGTCAACATGGTGAAACCCCGTCTCTACTAAAAATACAAAAAATTAGCTGGGCATGGTGGCACGTGCCTGTAATCCCAGCTACTCAGGAGGCTGAGGCAGGAGAATTGCCTGAACCCAGGAGGCGGAGGTTGCGGTGAGCCGAGATCGCGCCATTGCACTCCAGCCTGGGTAACAAGAGCGAAACTCCGTCTCAAAAAAAAAAAAAAAAATACATTATTATTGCCTTATGTAAAAAACAGATTATGCATGAAACATTTTTTTTCTTTTTATTTATGTAATGAAATTCTTTTTTGTTCCTATATATTTTTTAGCACTATCCAAACTTGCCTAATGTGCATATATTAATTTCCATTCTGATAATCAAAGTAAGTAAAAAAACTGGCTGGTCACAGTGGCTCGCCTGTAATCCCTGCACTTTGAGGGCTGAGGCGGGAGGATCGCTTGAGCCTAGTAGTTCAAGACCAGTCTGGGCAACATGGTGAGACCTTGTCTCTACAAAAAAAAAATTAGGTGGGCATGATAGCAGTGCCTGTGGTCCCAGCTACTTGGGAGGCTGAGGCAGGAGGACCACTTGAGCCCAGGAAGTCGAGGTTGCAGTGAGCCGTGTTCAGGCCAGTATAATCTAGTGTTGGAGACAAAGCAAGATCCTGTCTCAAAAAAGAAAAAAAAGAAAAAGAAAAACTGAGAAGGAGAAAGGAAAGGGGAGAAGCAAAAGAACCCTTAGGTTTTGTTATCTTACCTCAAAAAGGAGGCTGAATGCATCCTCCTCCTGACTTGTGTGGTGGACTGACAAGCCCTTAATGAAGACCCCTTGAGGGTTTTCCACGATGGTCATTGGTGTGACTGAGGGTCCAACATAGGGCAGAGTAGACAGGAGATCAAACAGGTTCTCATTATAGATTTCCAAGTAGGAAACACGCACAGTGATGGCATGTGTGGGGCGTTCTTCGATCATCCTAAAAACCTAGATGAGAGATTACACACTGGTCACCAAGAGCAGAACTCCAACAGCCAGCTAGTGTAAGGGGCTTCTTACCTCAGAAGGGAACATCAAGACATATAGAAGAATTCCTGCCCTAAAGGAATTGGGAGATATTTATTATCATCTTGTAGTTTTTCCAGGCTTGACATCAGACTGGCTAACACTTGAACCATCTCAAGAAGTAGAGGTATCATGAGTGGAAAGGACTCTGGAGTGAGGATTTCTCATTTTATGGAGTCTCATCATTTATATGCTTCTTTCAAATCCATTTTATTCCACCCTCATATAAATCTCTGTGATTGAGGCAGTGCAGGGGCAATACCTATTTGTGGAAGGCACCACGAAATAAAATTATTTGTCTGTGGTCACTCAGCTAGTAAGAGAAGTGAAGCCAGAATGCAGCCTTCTCAACTCCTAATGCACTTCCTAGTACTTATCAAGAAGAGATAATCCCTAAGGTCCTGCCTTCCTGTAAGAATTTAAACCTGTGCTGTTCAAAATGGCAGACACAAGTTATAGACGGCTGCTGAGTACCTAAAATGTAGCTAGTACAAATGAACTGAATTTTAAATTTTATTTAATTACATTTAGATTTAAAAACTGATAATTCTGCCGGGCGCGGTGGCTCAAGCCTGTAATCCCAGCACTTTGGGAGGCCGAGGCGGGTGGATCACGAGGTCAAGGGATCGAGACCATCCTGGTCAACATGGTGAAACCCCGTCTCTACTAAAACTACAAAAACATTAGCTGGGCATGGTGGTGCGTGCCTGTAATCCCAGCTACTCAGGAGGCTGAGGCAGGAGAATTGCCTGACCCAGGAGGCGGAGGTTGCGGTGAGCCGAGATCGCGCCATTGCACTCCAGCCTGGGTAACATGAGTGAAACTCCGTCTCAAAAAAAAAAAAACTGATAATTCACTTATTGGTAAACTTTAAGTATGTCTGGAATATGTTGGGTATATAAATCTACTTTTTTAACATTTTATGAAATCTAAATACAGATTAAGTATTTCTCTTTTTTTCTTTTTTGGAGACGGAGTCATGCTCTGTCACCCAGGCTAGAGTGCAGTGGCACAATCTCAGCTCACTGCAACCTCCACCTCCCAGGTTCAAGCAATCCTCCTGGGTCAGCCTCCTGAGTAGCTGGGATTACAGGCACATGTCACCACCCCAGATAATTTTTGTATTTTTAGTAGAGACAGGGTTTCGCCATGTTGGCCAGGCCGTTCTCAAACTCTTGACTTCAGGTGATCCACCTGTCTCGGCCTCCCAAAATGCTGGGATTACAGGCATAATCCCAGGCCCAGATCAAGTACCAAGCCCAGATCAAGTATTTCTGATGGTGTTTATGCCTAAACTGAAATGTGCTTCAAGTATAAAATATGTACCGGATTTCAAAGACTTTGCATGAGAAAAAGAATGTAAAATATCTCAAGTTCATATTGACTACATGTGGAAGTATTTTGAATATATTTAGTTAAATAAAATATATCATTAAAATTAATTTCATCTGTTTATTTTTACTTTTTTAAATGTGGTTACTGGAAAAATCAAAACTGCATGTGACTTACAGTATATTTCTGTTAGTGACACTGGGCTAGATTACTCAAGTCTAAGATGTTAAGAGAATGAAGCTTTAACAGTGGGGTATTAAGGATATTGCTCCAAAAATGGGAGCATGGATAGTTTACATTCTAAAGGAATGTCTACACTTTTTATAGGACAGGGCTGTAAAACTGCCAAGATGCTTTCAGGGAAAGTCTTTTGCCTCCTACCTCTGGCCAAAGGGTCTTCATAGAAACCAGGCTAGTGGGGCCCAAAGGAAGGCCCTTCTGTCCTGTCTTCAGGTATGCTACTGAGAACCTCCAGGGCTGACATAGTCCTGAAAGCTCAGGTCATGCCCTGCTTCTTGCTTTTGATCTTTCAGGGGCTGTGGTGGTGAAAAAAGCCAGAGTAGGCCAGTAGGAAGCTCTGCAAGGGTCCATTTGCCCCTCATTAAAACCAGGAAGGAACATGATTAGGACCTCCAAATCCTTAATTACAGGATCACAGACCATTGGAGCAGCAAGAGGCTGATAGCATGCTGGACTCCCTCCTTCCCCAATCAGGAAACAGGCTCAGTGCCGGTGTGGGTCAGACTCTGAAACCCAACCTCCTGGCTTCCTGAGGCCTCTGACTCCACTGACTCCGGAGCCCTGTGTATGCGGTCTCCAGCACCAGCACCCCCTGCAGCTCCTTTGAGGCCTGGGCCCCACTGTCTCTAGTAGCTGGCCTTGGGTTGGAAACATCTATGGCAGAGAGAGGGGGCCTGTGTGGCATCCCACCCTTGGGCCCACTCTCTACCTGCTGCAGTGCACGAGGGAGGATCCCCCGGTGCTTGTAATTCTCAGTTGCCCCCGTCATGGTGTATGTCTTGCCAGCTCCTGTCTGCCCATAACACATGATGGTGCCTGCAAACATTTCAAAACATGGTGACATCCAGGACAATGGCTCTAAGGATAACTCTCCCGTCCCCCAGCATGCCTGGTGCCAGCCAGGGCCCTTCGTGTGAATATGGCCACTGGGAGCAGCCAAGGACATCAGGATTTCCACCATGGAAGAGCATGGGTGGGTGGGGAACAGGGACAAAAGTGGTCAAAACAAGGACATCTGCCCTGAATCTGTCCTCACAATGCTCTGCTGTTCCCTCCACCAAGAGATGATCCAGCCCTAGGGCTTCTGAGGAGAACAGGGAATCTCAGGGTACAGAGGAACTGGAACTTTTCCTACAAAGATGAGGAGGGAGATAGGAGTCTTAGACTCCAGCCCTTCTCTAGCACGGCTATGAACTGCCAGGGTCTCAGGGTTGGCAGGAGGCATCAACTCCCCTACAGAGGCCAAGAGGGGCTTTCAAAATCTCCAGGAAGAGACGGAGTGGAAAGGGCATTTTCTGTCAATTCTTTGTAGACTACGAATTCCTGCAGGATCAAACAGGGCTCCTAGTTGGTTCCATGCCACTTCCAGAAATGGACCCCCATGACCAGGCCCTAATCTGGTCCACTGCTCACCCTGGGAAGACTTTCATTGCACTTCTCAACATTCTTTAGGTCTACTATCACCACCAGGCTCCGGGACACAAACCATGCAGTCACCCTGAGCTCCAGCTCCTGTCTGTTCTTCCTCTTAGCAGGGGCAGCCTGAGCCAGACCCCACCCCACAGGCTGCCCCTGGGCATTTACACAGCAGATCCGCCCAGGCAATGCTAGGCTGTTGAATTTTTTTGCCTTTGACACACAGACGATTTAGTTCTTGGGACTGGTAGCAGGTTTTACACAAGGGGCCCTGATTCAGCATCTTGAGTTGGAGCCAGAAATGGGTGTCTATTAACCCAACAAATGAACAGGAAGCAGTCACTTCAGCTGCAACTCAGAGCCCACCTGTGGTTCTGCAGCACCCAGTGCTCAAGACTATTAATCTCCCTGGGCCTTAGTTCCTCTGGCTCCACCTCCTCAAGGTCGCAATCCCCTCAGAGCATGATGAAAACCAAAAGAGAACCTTCTGAAGTCAGTGGGGACCACATCTACGTATCACATTCAGGATAAATTACAGCATCTACACTCAATGGACTTATAAATATAAAACCTAAATTTGCAAAACAGGGAATATCCTAGTTAGCAGCCACCAGATGGCAAAGTCTTTAAATGGTAATATATTCTTTTATATAATCCTATACTAGAATATCAACCGTACACTGATTGTGTTGGTAGAATAAATGAAAATAGCTCCTAGTAAGAGCCAGGTGCAGTGGCTCACGCTTGTAATCCCAACACTTTGGGAGACTGAGGTGAGTAGATCACCTGAGGTCAGGAGTTTGAGACCAGCCTGGCCAACATAGTGAAACCCTGTATCTACTAAAAATACAAAAAAATTAGCGGGGCGTGGGGGCAGGCGCCTATAATCCCAACTACTAGGGAGGCTGAGGCAGGATAATCACTTTAACCCGGGAGGTGGAGGTTTCAATAAGCTGAGATAATTTTCCTATGAAGGTAGAATCCCAGGACATTGGATCAAGCCATGCCCACAATGTCAACAAGCCAACAGTACGTTTTGCACTGTAAGAACATGGAGACAGACAAATAAGCATACAAATGATAGTAAGTGAGGTTTTATTTTATTCACCATAAAATATTTGCATCTCTTACTGCAGGAGGGGCTCCTCAGGTTCTTACATAAGATAACAGTTAATTAATTAAGTTACCATTATAGCCATCGAGGGCCTGAGAAACCACATCCTTTGCAACTGTCTCATAAACCAAGTCCTGGGAGGCATCGTGAAGAACTCCATCCAACTTGAATGACCAGTCTGTCTGTTGGTTATTGACAACTCCTCTCCGAATGTCTTTTTTTAAGTGAATATCAATGGTCTAGGAAAAAAGAGTGAGAAAAAAAAAGTTTTGTTCAGAAACTGGTATAAAAAAATCACTGATAGCTGAGGCCTCACCTGGAGGGAACAGAGGAAGTGAACTGCAGGATGAACAGGGACTCCCACGTAGGGGCTGATATGCCAGACAAATTCTTTGGGATGGGAGAAGGGAGCTGCTGCAGGGAAGTGGAAGGATCAGGAGGCTGGAGCACTTGCTAGTTTTAGTACCTCTAACCCTTGTTCACAGGGTGCTATCTGTCTTGGTTCCCTCATCTATGATATGAGGTCAATCAAATTTATCATGTTTTTATTAAACAAGATTTAGATAGATTCCACAAGCATAGGGAGGCCTTGAATTAGGCCAGAGGGAGCAGGAAGCCTGGTGACAGAGGCCTGGGCTCCAGCCCCATCACTGGTTACTGAGTGAGGCCTCCCTCAGCTCTGCATTGTGAGCACCTGCTTCCACACTATGGGCCAATGTGAGTGATGATTAAATGACAGCCACAGAGAAGGCTATGGACTTCTCAGACACAGTTACTCATTGGAATTAAGAGTAAATTGAGGGTGCCCAGGGTACTTGTAATCAGCAGATTTTTAGATGCATGCCCCTTCACAGTACGTAAGCCACTGTGGTAGCAGCTGGCTTAAGGACATACTGGGTAAGGCAATGGTAGATTCCAATCTTCTTGATGAGAACTTCTGATACAAAACTCTTGCTGAGATCTTACCCTGACTGCCCTAATGCAGGAGCCATACCTGGCTACAGAGAAAAATTAAAATCCAGAAAGAAAGACTTGGTTCATTCACACATTAATTGCTCTATGCTTCTATGTTCATTGAAAACCACGCCCAGCAGGACACATTTCACAGGGCTGCATGTAAGCTCTTTTCTGACTGCTGGGAACTTTGAGGCTTGAGCAGTTTCCCCTTGTAATTAACTCAAGGTATTCTTACTGCACCCCTTGGGAGATTATACAATGACTGATCACACACTAGCAAGCTTTATGAATGTGAACAAATGTCCATTTTTCTGTGTCAGATACGAGGGTAAAGGTAAACTTAATTCATTAAAGGTAAAATCATTAAAAGACAATTAAAGATGGGATTTTTATGAATTTCCTAATTAACAGCATTGTGAGGGGGTAGTTTGGACTTGATTGGATCCTGTCCAATTCTGTCTTGGTCCTTCAAAGGTCATTTGGAAATACAGTCACACTATAGTCAGGTGGGACAGAGAGGCCAGTCGGGTAAAGGCAAACACATCGCACTTACTTTATTGTCATCTCCATATCTGATCATTTCGTGAGCAAAGTTATCGGTCGGTTTGACACGGACAAATGCGTGAACTTTTTTCCTAGTACCCATTCTAGCTAAAAAGAAGGGAACAATGAAATTTTGAATAGTCATTATCAAATAACAAGTAGAGGAGAGGGGTCATTCATTAAGAAAATCAGAAAGAGTGACGAGCAGTCCATGTTTCCCTCTCTCCCTGAAAGCCAGTCTTCCTTTTCACCCCTCACCATTTCAGTGTCCTACCACAAGACACTGCTCAACAGATACATGCCCTTCCTGCTTCACAGGCTGCTCTGCCACTTTCCACCAATGATCCCAGAGAAACCGAGATACAAAGTAAAAAGAATGCTGGCCTAATCTTAGATGTCATTTCTAGAAATGTTCTGCATCTAAGATGATGAGTCCACTTAGGCTTTCCTTCTTTTATATTTTCTTCTAAAATATTTACTATGAAATACATTAAAACTAATTTTCTTCTCATTAACTTATCTGGCTTCAGATACAGCATCCTTTCCTCTGACAGACTCACTAGATCAGAAGTAAATGCCCTAGAAGAATACTTGGTCCATAATCAAATATTCTTTCTTCTCTTACTACATTGAGAAAAAATATCACAGACAGTCCCCTACCTCCTCTTGCTCTCCTAAAACCTAACTAAATTGTCATCATTTTCTTTCAATGTGTGTGTGTGCATGCATGTGCACATATATACAGTAGTATAAATGAAGACATAAGACATATACATATATATACACATAAGACACACACACACACATATATATATATAAAGGAAGACATAAGACATACAAATATATATACACACACACATATATATTTTTTCGAGACAGACTGTCACTCTGTCACCCAGGTTGGAGTGCAGTGGTAAAATCACGGCTCAATGCAGCCTTGACCTCTTGGGCTCAAGTGATCCTGGGAGTATAGGTGCATTCCACTGTGCCCAGCTAATTTTCTTACCTTCTTTTGTAGAGATGGTGTCTTACTATGTTGCCTAGGCTGGTCTTGAACTCCTAGCCTCAAATGATCCTCCTGCATTGGACTTCCAAAGTGCTGGGATTATAGGCATGCCCAGCAATGTTCAATATTTTAAAAATTAACATTCATTTTATTTATTTTATTTTTACAGACAAGGGTTTCTTTATGTTGCCTAGTCTGCCCTTGAACTTCTGAGCTCAAGTGATTCTCTTAACCTTCTCTTAACCTGTAGCTGAGGCTACAGGTGCATGGGTTGGCTTTTAAAAAACTAGCTTTTGGCTGGGTGCAGTGGCTCACACTGTAATCCTAGCACTTTGGGAGGCCAAAGTGGGCAGATCTCTTGAGCGGAGGAGTTTGAAACCAGCCTGGGCAACATGACGAAACCCCATCTCTGCAAAGAATACAAAAATTAGCCAGGCGGCCGGAAGCAGTGGCTCACACCTGTAATCCCAGCACTTTGGGAGACCAAGGAGGGGGTGGATCACAAGATCAGGAGATCAAGACCATCCTGGCCAACATGGTGAAAAACCATCTCTACTAAAAATACAAAAAAATTAGCTGGGCATGGTGGTGCTTGCTTGTAGTCCCAACTACTCAGGAGGCTGAGACAGGAGAACTGCTTGAACCCAGGAGGTGGAGATTGCAGTGAGCCGAGATCATGCCACTGCACTACAGCCTGGGTGACAGTGCAAGACTCCATCTCAAAACAAACAAACAAACAAACAAAAATTAGCTGGGTGTGGTGGTGAGCACCTGTAATCTCAGCTGCTAGGTAGGCTGAGATGGCAGAATCACTTGAATCTAGAAGGTGGAGGTTGTAGTGAGCCAAGATCATGCCACTGCACTGCAGCCTGGGTGAAAAAGCAAGACTCAGTCTAAAACAAAACACAACAAAACAAAACCGAACTTTTAAGACATTAACTATAAAAAAAACACTCATGTATAACAGGGACTTCTTTTACTTAGATTATCTTGCTTTATTAAAAAGTACATTAAATAATGGTAACATTTTATATAAAATTGAGAGGTCCAATGGGTATTACCTGACAAAAGTTATTCCAGATTTTAATTAATTTATTATTTAATTTATTATTTTTGAGACAGAGTTTCACTGTGTCTCCCAGGCTAGAGTACACTGGTGTGATTTCAGCTCACTGCAGCCTCTGTCACCCTGGCTCAAGCAATCCTCCCACCTCAACTTCCAGGGTAGCTGGAAGGACAGGTGCATGCCACCACACTAGACTAATGTTTTACATTTTTGTAGAGATGGAGTTTCAACATGTTGCTCAGGCTGGTCTTAAACTCCTGGGTTCAAGCAATCCACCCACCTCAGCCTCACACTCACACTCAATTTCTAAAGCTTAGGGAATCACTCTTCACATCGAAGGGCCCATTCTCCTGCCCAGGGAAGTTCAGATGCCATCCAGGGTATGCTCCGAAAGAGACCATGAAGAAACAGGGGAGCTCTGGGAGCAGGTGCCTAGGCCTCCCTCCCTGAAGACCCTGCACAAGGGTAGCATGGGCCAGTTCAGAGCATCAACCTCAGCTGGGCATGGTGGCTCACGCCTATAAACGTAGCACTTTGGGAGGCCAAAGTGGGAGGATCGCTTGAGGCCAGGGATTAGAGGCCAGCCTGGGCAAGACCTTGTCTCTACAAAAAATTTTTAAAATCTGCTAAGTGTGGTGATGCATGCATGTGGTCCCAGTCACTCAGAAGGCTTAAGGAGGAAGATCACTTGAGCAGTGATGGTGCACCACTGCTCTCCAGCCTGGATGACAGAGTGAGACTCTGTCTCAACGAAACAAAACAAAAGCATCACTCTCCCTCCAGAGCCTGGCCCTTCTCTGCCTTGCTATTTGGCAACATGCCCATGTACATGCAGTCACCCCATGTATGCTACCCAAGGCCCTCCCCATGCTGACACCATGGATCCAAGCATGCCAGGAGCTATATCCACCTGCAATAAGTCTTCCTTTGCACACTTGTCTTGTGAGCCTGCTACTCAGCTGCCCCTTAACACCCAAACATTTGGGGGCGACCCCATGCCATCTTGCACTTACTGAAATACTGCTTGTCACCATTCCTACGCCGCTCCATTTGAGTGGGTTTCAGTTCCCAAATTAAGGCAAGGATTGTGATTTTATCTCTTCTGAATCCCCCCACAATGTCCAGGGCAGAGCCCAGCACAGAGGAGGTGTTCAGGAAATGGTGGTGGGTAGTGATGGTAATGGCTGGAAGTCAGAGGGCAGCAGAATCTCCACATATGGTTCCATCTTCAATCACTACTGAGAGAGTCCCAAGAGACATATGATGTCACTCCCCTTCCATGACAACTCCAACCCAAGCACACAGCCCTTCCAGGAGGACACTTGGTTTCCAGGTGCAAAAATCTATGTCCAGCCCCTCACCACACTCGTTTTTTTTTTTTTTTAGACAGAGTCTCACTCTGTCACCTAGGCTGGAGTGCAGTGGCACAATATGGCTCACCGCAGCCTTCATCTCCTGGATTCAAGTGATCCTCCCACTTCAGCCCCCCAAGCAGCCAGAACTACAGGCGTGCACCACCATGCCCGGAAAATTTTTGTATTTTTTGTAGAGATAGGGTTTCCCCACGTTATCCAGGCTGGTCTTGAGCTCAAGCAATCCGCCCACCTCGGCCTCCCAAAGTGCCAGGATTACAGGCGTGAGCCACTGCCCCCGGCCCCCTCCCTTTCTCCCTCGGGACTTGTGGGAAATGCCTCTCCTTGGGAAACCACCCTTTGATATTTGTTATAACAAAGCAAGTCTCTGAATGGCCACCAGGAAACTTCTGTGTTAAGACGCTCAAGGTTGCTTCATTTGTTTTGAGTGGGAATGAACAGAACTGGCCACAAGCACCCATGAAGGCTCGACAAGAGAAAGAGAACGTTTGGTGGGGCAGTAGGCACCAGGTGGGTCCCTATCTTCCAGTGCTCCCGTACAGATCAGGGGCTGTCATGGGGAACCCTCATAGCTACCGTAGTGGCAGCAGCAACACCCGAACCCCAAACACTGGGTCCAATTGCACCTGGCCTTGGCTGAACAAGACTGGGACTCAGGCAAAACTGGCCTTTCTCCTTTTCCTCACTCAATGTGCCGAACCCCCGCGTGGAGCGTGGGGTGCAATAGGCCTTGGACCCATTTCGGTCCCTCTCGTGAGCGGTTTCCTCATCTGTAAAGAGTAGGGCTCGGGCTGGTGATCCCCAAACCCCCTCTAGTTCGAAAACCGACTAGTGCAGAAGAGTCCAGACGACCTCCGGCTCCCTGCCTCACAGCTTCAATGTCCTGGGCGCGACGTGGGATCCCTTTGTGAGACCAATGAACATTGGCTCTGAAGACCGTAAGTCGTGGCCAGGCTGAAGGGACTCCCGCGATGTCTCGCCCTCCTTCGCCTGGGTTTCAGAAATGAGGGACCCAAGCTGGGAACCTCCAGATAGATCGGCGTTTGGACTCCAGCCATGGTCTCCCGTCTCCCCACTCTCACCGGCGCGCAGCCTCTGCTCACCGTTTACCAGGCAGCGACGCTCCCAGGACGCGAAGCTGCAACCGAAGCCACCTGCACTCCCCACACGGGCCTGGCTGGCTGTGTACACGGTCGCCATGGCAACGGGTCGCTTCCGGGGATTCCGGAAGTGTCGAGGGTGGCGGAAATGAAGTCCGAGGTCCTACGTCGATGATACAGGTGAGGTCATGGCCGAATTGGGAAGACGAGAGATGAGGCCGATTGATCTAGAAAGAACTCGGCAGATGCATGCGCGAAGCGAAGATCGGGGTAGCGAGGGAACGAAGGCTGCACACGAACCAGGAAGCGGGGCGGCGGGGCTTCCGGCGCCGAGGAGTTTCAACTACGGCGGCCGCGGAGGCCCGTCCGATTGCTGCTCCGCGCTCCGAGCTGCTGGCGGCGTGTGCGCTCGCCCCGCCCTGGTTAGTGTGTAGCCGGCCGGCGAGGCCTGCGCAGTTGCGGCGGCCGGGGAAGATGGTGGAGGACGGTGCGGAGGAGCTGGAGGATCTGGTGCACTTCTCGGTGTCCGAGTTGCCTAGTCGCGGCTACGGAGTCATGGAGGAGATCCGGCGGCAAGGCAAGCTGTGCGACGTGACCCTCAAGGTACCGTGGGTTGGGCAGCCGCGGGCTGAGGTGAAAGGGGTCGAGCGGGCAGCAAAAAGGGGCGGGGGACAGGGAAAGAGAGGTCAGCAGGGAGAGGCGTGGGGAGAAGAGGTTTGAGGGGGACAGAGTAGTGGGGAGAGAGGTGCCAAGCAGGAGAACGGGATAGGGGCCGAGTGCGGAGAGGAAGAGGACAGCCTTTTAGCTCTTGGAAGGAAAGGTTGAGAGGTGCGCCGCTTAGGCCCTCGGAGTGGGAGACATTGGGGTGACAGCCTCCCTTTTCTGTCATACAGATAAGAGAAAATGGACTTACCTTCTATGGAGGCAGGGGCGGTGGCGGCCCCACGTGCTGATGGGCACCACTGAAGCACCTTTTCTTGTCACCACAGAAATTTCTTTGTGCCTCTTGAAGTTGGCTGTGCTGTTGTAGAGGAGAAGGCTTCTCCTTAGGAATCATTGCCTGCCCTTAATTTTTGAATTACTGTTTTGTCTCTTAAGAGCTTTTAAAATCTGATCTGGTTATTTTTTGAGGTGGGAAGCCACCTGCCCCACATTTGAAGGCACCGCTCACCACCACCACCACCACCACAAAGGTCCCTGGGGCTGGGCCTCTTGGCTGCATAGGGAGAGGGATGCTGACTGACATTAAGAGGGAAAGATATCTTAACCACCTGTTCCCCACCAGCATTCTGGTCGCAAGAGCCAGCCTCCCTCCTGTGCCTGGGTCCTTTCATGTGGAAGAGGCGTACTGTGCTGCTCCCTGGCCAAGCCACCGAACCATGTGGAGCCGTCCGGTTGGGGAAGTAATGAGTGGGGCTCCCTGTTGGGCTTTGGCTGGAAAGCGCTCAGCATCTGTGGTGACCCCTGTTTAAAAAGCAAGCAGGCCAGGCGCGGTGGCTCACGCTTGTAATCCCAGCACTTTGAGAGGCGAGAGGATCACTTGAGCGGGGGAGCTGGAGACCAGCCTGGGCTATGTAGGGAGACCCTGTCTCTACAAATAATAAAAAATTGGCTGCGCATGGTGGCCTGTGCCTGTAGTCCCAGCTATCAGGAGACTGAGGTGGGAGAATCCCTTGAGCCTAGAAGGTGAAGCCTGCAGTGAACTGTAATCGCACCGCTGCACTTCAGCTTGGGTAACAGAGCAAGACCCTATTTCTCCTATTTCTCACTTTCTCTCTCTCTCTCTCTCTCTCTCACACACACACACACACACACACACACACACACACATAGAGACAGAGAGAGAAAGAAAGAAAAAACAAAACTATGCAGAGATCCTTTTGTTCTTATTTTCTTTTTTTTGAGACGGAGTCTCGCTCTGTTGCCCAGGCTACAGTGGGGCGATCTCGGCTCACTACAACCTCCCTCTCCTGGGTTCAAGTGATTCTCCTGCCTCAGCCTCCCCAGTACACATACCACCACACCTGGCTAATTTTTTTCTATTTATAGTAGAGACGGGGTTTCACTGTGTTGCCCAGGCTGGTCTTGAACTCCTGAGCTCCAACAATCCGCCCGCCTCAGCCTCCCAAAGTGCTAGGATTAAAGGCGTGAGCCACCGCGCCCGGCCTGCTTTTCTTATTTTCTTCATGGTTAGGGAAACTTTTCTTCTTCCACATATTTGAGTCAGACCTCTAGAGATGGTAGAGTAGGATGGTTGAGTATGGCTTTGAGGCCAGAAGGATTTGGATTAAAATCCTAGTTGTAACCTTGGGCAGGTTACTTAATCTCTGTAAGGCTCCGTTTTCCAAATGTAAAAATAGGGATGATTTTGAATTCACAGCATTAGTGTGAAGATTAAATGAGAAAATTTGTGGTGCTCTTTGCATTATACCTGGCAAAATGTTTTCATCTTTTTTTTTTTTTTTTTTTTTTGAGACAGAGTCTCACTGTGTCACCAGGCTGAAGTGTAGTGGCACGATCTCGGCTCCCTGCAACCTCTACCTCCTAGGTTTAAGTGATTCTCCTGCCTCAGCCTCCCAGGTAACTGGGACTACAGGCGCCCACAACCATGCCCAGCTAATTTTTTTGTGTGTGTGTATTTTTAGTAGAAACAGGGTTTCAGTATGTTGGCCAGGCTGGTTTTGAACTCCTGACCTTGTGATCCACCCGCCTTGGCCTCCCAGAGTGCTGGACCTTGTGAGCCACCGCACCCAGCCCTTTTCATCATTCTAAACCCCTCCTGAAGGAGTTTGTTTTTCCAAGAAAGAAATGAAGTGACCTGAGAAAGGGCAAGATCTTCTCAGACGGGAAAGAGGAACCAAGCGAACTGCGAAAAAATGAGCTGGACTAAAGAAGGCAGAGAAAGTAAAAGTAAATGAGAAGTTTTCGTCCGCAGTGATTACATGGTGGAAGATGTTAAGGCCACTAAAGATTTGTCAGCAGAAAAATGATCTGATTGTGGCAGTAACACTTGGTGTAAATGGAGACTAGTGAAAAGCAGTAATAGGGGAGAATTTTTAGATTAAAATTTAGGCTGTAGGCCGGGCACTGTGGCTCACACCTGTAATCCCAGCACTTTGGCAGGCCAATGCGAGTGGATCGCTTGAGCCCAGGAGTTTGAGACTAGACTGGGCAACATGACAAAACCCTGTCTCTATTGGGGAAAAAAAAAGATTTAGGCTGTAAGGGTAAACCAGGGAACTCTTGTGAGACACGGGGAAGCAGAAAGGCATGGCAGAGTGGGATGGTCACAGATACTTCTAGATAAAGTATTAACAGTACATTTTGCCTCTGCATTTAATGCAGATCCTGAATATAGTAATCTTGTAGCAGAACATTGCTTGTTCATTCAAAGGGACAGGTAAACTATCAGACGTGGCTGGACGCAGTGGCTCATGCCTGTGACCCAGCACTTTGGGAGGCTGAGGCAGGTGGGAGGCTGAGGCAGGTGGATTGCTTTCAACTCAGGAGTTTGAGACCAGCTTGGGCAACATGGTGTAACTCCGTCTCGACAAAAATTTAGCTGTAGTGGTGTGTACCTTTAGTCTTAGCTACTCAGGAGGCTGAGGTGGGAGGATCACTTGAGCCTGAAAGGTAGCCTGAGCAACAGAGTGAGACCCTGTCTAAAAAAAAAAAAAAAAAAAATCAGACATGATTCCAACTGAAAGGTCAGTCTGAATTGCCATGTTAGTTTCAAGGATCTAGAACATAAGGACCAATATAAATATTTTTTTCTTTTTTTCCTCTCTCTTTAATAAAAAGCCTCTGGTGGGAAGGACTGGTAAAAAGGCATGGGCTAGAGCTGGACGAGACTGTAGAGAGCATTTATTTTACTGATTTTGAAAACTATATTGTAGAGCCCAGGGGGTAGCTCCGAAGCAGTATGATGGCGGGACCAGGAAAAGGGCACGCGAACCAGGCTCTGCACAACTCACTACTTGCCACCAGAGCTGCTCTGGGAAATCTGTTTTGTCTCTCTTTCTTGTCAGTCTTTCTTCAGTTTTCTGGTGACTCCACAGTGTTTTTCAAATAAACAGACACTGAGTAGCTGGTTGGAAGCTTTTTGGTGTGAGATGTTTTATTGACTGGTGGGCCTCCCTAGCAGGCAGTGGTTCTCAAACTTCAGTGAGCTTCAGAATCACCTAGTCGCCTTGTTAAAACACTAGTTTTTGGACCTCACCCCAGAATTTCTGTTTCATTAGGTCTTGCATGGGCATGATAACTCATATTTCTGACAAGTTCCCTTGTGATGCTACTCTTGGTCTGGGACCACATTCTGAGAGCCATGACTGTAGGATGATGGACCTGTCATATTCTGTGGGATATGGTCAGAGTCTGTAGATCTTTCTCCAGGCCTCCTCTTAGGTGGCATAAGCCTGGCTGTTATTCTGGGAGCCTTATGGTGGGAGAGGGCTGGAGGCTCTCCCTTCTGTATGCAGTTTCACTTAATCTCTCTAAATGGTACCACTTCCTTGTCTTCAGTGGTACCCTGATGACCCACGTCTAGAGGCTCTTATTCATCCTCTCCGAAGAGTAAACCTCCAGTCTTCTACCTGGGTGGTGATGCAGCAGTTGCTTGCCTTGGGGAGGGAGACCAGTATTTCCTGATTTCAGCCCTTCCTCATGCTTACAACTTCAGAGGAAACTGGTATTTCCAATGATTCCATTTTGGAGCGGATTCTTCAGTGGCTTGCCATCTGCAACACTTAGCATCCTCTAAGTCAGTTACTTCTCATTTGTCTTCTTCTAAAATTTTGTTAACTCTTCTAATCTGCTGTCTGTCTCTGCTTTTTTTTCCTTTGGAGCGTCGCTCTTCCTTGATCGTCAGTCTAAGAGGCAGTATCATACAGACTCTGCAGCCACACTGTTCAGCTTTGAGTTCTGAGTCTGCCACTTATTAGCTGTGAAAATGAGCAGCTTCCTTAAATGCTGGTGATTCTGTCTCATCTGTAAAATGGAGACCACCACCTATTTGAGTGTTGAGGATTCAATTAGTTAA